ATGCTGAGAGGGTATGCGAGATCTGGATGAGTGCAAGTCAATAGGTACATGAGGCAACCCACCAGCTCTGCGTAGGGGCCACTAGGCTCTACAGCCTCCTCCGGGACTGGAGCAGAGAGTCTGTGGTCTACTGGTAGAGGGGTGGGCTGTGCGGAAGAGTATTGAAGGTCGAACCTCTGAAGGACCTGGCACACCGAGTGTGACTTCGAAAGAGTGATGGTGCGCACTACTCTGTCCCTGGAGATCTGCAAGCCAAGTAAGCGGCGCAGCTCTCCTAGGTCAGTGCAAGTGTGTCTTCAGCAGCTCAGCCTTCACGGAGGCCAGCACATCTTTGTCTGCAGTAGCAAAGACCATGTCGTCTACGGAGTCTGGCCGGAACGGACAAAGTGCGAGGGGTATGTAGACAACAGGAAGAACTGCAGATCAGCAAGTGTAGCACGCAGCGTGTCGTGCCACTCATGGGGCACCTGTTGCAAGCCGTAGACGGGGCACCGGAGAAGCTACTCGGTACCAGGGGGGAAGGTACCGGAGAAGCTCTGGGGGCGGCGCAGGTAGACCTGCTCGTGAAGACTGCCCTGGAGGAAAGCTGTAGAGAAGTCGAGGGAGTGGAGCTCGTAGTCACGCTGTGCTGCTACGTGTAGCAGTGCCCGAAGAGTAGTCATCTTCGGGGTCGGGGCGAAGGTCTGAAAGAAGTCCACCCCCTTACGCTGACTGAAGCCTCGAGCAACGTAGCGCGTCTTGAAGACATGCGGCTCTCCAGGAGGGCGCTTCAACTTGAAGAACCATCGGCCATTGAGTACGTTCACCCAAGGTGGGGGATTTGCGTCGACGAAGGTACCGGTGGATCTCCAAGATGCCATCTCCTTCTCCATGTCAGCTATCCACTGAGAGGCCCAGGGTCCCAAGGTGGCCTCAGCGTAGGTGCGAGGGGTCAGGATGTCAAGGGCGTTTGGGTCACCCTCGGGGACTAGTAGCATGGAACAGAGATGGGGAGCGGCCTCAAACAGAGCAACACCCCAGACGAGGCACCAGCCCCAGCCCCCTCGTCAGCACTACCAGTAGGCGAACCACCTCCACCACTGCCACCACCCCCTCCTCCGCTACCTCAGCCGCGCCCAGCCTTGGGGCGGCGACCCTTACCCGGACGAAACTGCGCTGCGGCAGTCGCAACGGCTGTCTCCGTAGTAAGGGCTGTCTCAGCGACAGTAGCAGAACCGTCAGAGTAAGAGCACTGAGCGGGGGCACAGCCCTGAATGATAGTGACCGGCACGGTACCGCTAGACTGGGCGATAGAGCGCTGTCGAGTCTCTATGGCAGACAGGGTGTCGACAAAGTCAGTGAGAGTGAGGTCAGCGGGGTGGAGACTAAGGAAGTGATCACGGGCGGTAGCAAGGCGGTCCGGGAGGCGGGTGGCAAGCAGGTACAGGGTAGAGCAGATGGGGGGCTGAAACATTCGAAGCTGGGCCTCGGTGCAAGCAGCGCGCCAGGTCGAGTGTAGCGTGCGCAAGTGGGTGGCCAGGTCAGCGACAGTAGAGAACGATGCAAGATCAGGAAAGAGCATCGGCAGGATCAGACAACCGACAGTGATAGAGGGGGGGGTGGAATAGCCTCTAGGAACTCCTGCGCAGTCCGGATTGACCTAAAGCTGGGGCGCTCACACATGGGGTGGGCTTGACTTATCGCGAGCTGTGCGACAGCGTCATACGACAACCAGACAGCACGGGCAAGGGCAGCAGTGACAGCGGACTCACGGTCAGCAGACGTGGGGTCAGCGGGTAGAGTAGCAGGGGGGTCAGGGCAGGGGAGCGTGCCGTCGATGTGGATGGCCAGGGAGTGGCCGTCCTGGCGCTGACCAGTGAGGTGGCGGCGGAGGTCGACGAGCCACGTGTCGAACTCAACCGGCTGACCCTCCGCATCAAAGCGCAGTACCGAGTCCGCCGTCATGGTCCCTGCAGCAGCAGAAAAGCGGTACTGGGCTGTACTGAGCGACAGAGTGCGATGGGAAGCAGTGGTGTGCGGTGCGGTGCAATTGTAGTAGAACGGCGATAGAATGAGGTGCAGTACGGTGGAGTGTGGTGCAGTGCGGTGCAGGCGATGCGGTGCAGTGCGGTGGAGAGGGCCGATGGAGCGAGGTGGGAGCAGCTTGGGCAGCTGAGGGACGGGGCCGCGAGGAGGCTGGGCGGCTGGTCAACAGGGGCCGCGTGACGGCTAGGAGACCGGGGGCCGCATGGCGGCGAAGCGACGGGGGTCGGCTACACGACGGGGCCGGCTAGGCTACGGGGCCGACTGGGTGACGGGGGCGGCTAGGCGACGGGGCCAACTAGGCGAGGGGGCCGGCTGGGCGACGGGGTCGACTAGTAGGCGGGGCCGGCTGGGCTACGGGGCCGGCTAGGTGACGGGGCCTGCTGGGCGACGGGGCCGGTTAAGCGACGGGGCCGGCTAGAGGACGGGGCCGGCTAGGAGGCGAGGCTGGCTAGAGGACGGGGCCGGCTGGGCGACGGGGTCGGCTAGGTGGCGGGGCCAACTGGGTGACGGGGCCGACTGGGCGACGGGGCCGGCTAGGAGGCAGGGCCGGCTGGGCTACGGGGCCGGCTAGGAGGCGGGGCCGGCTGGGCTACGGGGGCCGACTGGGCGACGGGGCTGGCTAGGCGACGTGGCCAGCTAGGCGATGGGGCCGGCTGGGCAACGGGGCCGGCTAGGAGGCAGGGCCGGCTAGGCGACTGGGCTGGCTAGGAGGCGGGGCCGGCTGGGCTACGGGGCCAGCTAGGCGACGGGGCCGGCTGTGCGACAGGGCCGGCTAGGCGACGGGGGCCACTAGGGGACAAGCCAGCACGGGCGGGAGGGCAACGGGGTGACTAGGACCTATGGCGGAAGCGCTAGTGGGCGGGGGGGACCTAACCTACTCATGATACCATATCAAAGTTAACGAATGACTAGAACCATGGCATACAAGGGAATATTACCTAGTGAGTTGTACTCTCTAAGGCACAACCCTGTGTAGTCTATAAGAACATACAAAGATATATTTGACAGCATGCTCATAGAGAGTACAACTCCTTAGGACAAAACCACCCAGTATCACACATTCTTATTCATTGCGTTATTCTGAGACGTATGTGATGCGAATCAGCCACGGATGACAAGGCTATCGGGAGTCCCGATTCGGGACCGAGCACTGTCTTCCGAAAGTTCAGGCTTACTTAGTACAGCCCTAAAAGGAATAGAACTCCTCCCTTCCCCCCCCCCCCCCCTCCCCTCACCCTTCCCCACCCTCTTACGGAAGAGGGTCGATATTGGAATCGAACTCACGAGATAAATAACATGCAAGCATGCCATGTGCTTGAAATGAGTCTGATAAAACCCTTATGTTGTATTCGTCAGTCTGCCTTGTCCAGCAAATGAGAGAAACCTCACGTGTCGATCGGCTGTGTAGAGCCGGACACGATGGTAGGTACAGGTTGATAATACAAAAGGGACCACAATAATGCGGTCAAAATTTAGGTAGAAGGGACAGTCAAAGGGTTTTCGTGTCGATCATCTACTTACCTTGCTGCCATGGTGGTGCTTTGTCAATGAAGGTCAGTGTGGCATCGTGAGATGCCCGTTGGACTTGCATATTGACTCGAAGGCTTTCTCACCGTCAACATATGCTGGGGTGGCTCGAGTGGATACAGAAATAACAACAGATTGCTGATGGGAGGCCTTTATCAGCTGACAATGGTTATGATAATGTATATGTGATTGATCTAGAATGCATTAGTCGTAGACTTCCAAAGCCCAACCCTAATTGCCAAGACTTCCAAAAAATAGTGTTGAATATTCAAGCTAACATACAAATTCAATGCTTAAAAGCGAGGGTCTCAAGAAGCAAAAAAACAAACCCAAAGGTTTTGGTTTCAGGGGGTCTCGAAAATTGCGAGGTATGGTGAGGGGTGCTGGTTGGGTGCTGTTACTGTTTCGCTAATTTCGTCAACCAAAAACCAAACCTTTTGGATTTGGTTTCACGCTTCTTGAGATCCTCGCTTTAAAAAAGGCGTTTCGGAGGGGTTTGGCCTGAGTGCTCAAGGCATTCAGAACCAATATGAGGGTGTGGCATGAACCCGTTTTAGTGGTGTAAGCTAAACAAGGATAGGAGTTTTCATTTCCATACACTGTGTGTCCTCTATTGTGAAATGGCCACTCTGCCACGAATACACCAGCCAGCCAAGCACACAAGCATGCTTTTTTGGAGGGATTGACGAGGACTTTAGACAATCCACGTCAGGTTACTTTATCCACATCTGACGGCAGGGAATCTCAGCCACACCTACTCAACCACCACAGAGCAGAACGGCAACAATGGCGGTGATTCCAGCAAAGTGCCCCCCCGACCTGGTCTCACCCCCCTATCCCTCCACTCCCCCCACCAGCCATGCCGCCGTGGCGCCGCGACACAGCCTGTGAGTATTCGGGGTTCGCGAGTGGAACGGCGATCGAGCCACGTGGCTTACTAGTTGTCAGTGTGTGGCGATGTTTCTTCCCAACTCATGCCTCGTCAGCACATGGTAACCCGCCTCTCTCATTGACGCCTTCTCGAAACCACATCGCACTCGCGCCGTGATCTCGGTGATCACAGCTCTGCTCCACTCCGGCCAGTGCGCCAGAGAGCGAGTGGGTGGGCTTATCCTCCCCCACCCCCCATCTCACTTCTCCGCCACCTTCTCCTCGCGCTCACTGATCAGCCTCCCCTCTTTGTGCCAAGTAACCGCACCATAACGCTTGAAACCGTTTTGGATTTTTTAGGTACCAAACACACGGATCGATGTTGAAGTCCGCCTCCTGACCCCCAACTGCTGCAGTCACCTCACACATCATTGCGCCCAGGCCTCTCTCCTCCTCGCCCCAACCTGACCAGCCAGTACACGTCCCTCCCGTGACCCGCCCGCCGTACCTCTGGACTAAAACAGGTTTCACCTTGCACCAAGCCATCCATACCACACGGAGTACATTGCACAGTATCCTTGTCACTAAGGCGTCCTGGCATCTGCGCTAGCAACGCAGCGAGAAACTTGAGTTAGGCTCGGGCGAGGTGCAAGCATGCGGACTTGCTGCTGCTGGCATTCAGTGCCTCTAGACCGCCGATCATCCACTGCTGCCATCTACTGAAGATCACCAGCCGTCCGTTCTGTGAAAATTATTCCATTTGTGTCAAAACGCGTGCGCCTGCGCTAGCCGACTACTCCGATTTGTTGTTTTTTTTTTAATCCTCTCCATCAGTGATCGTCGCACTTCAGATTTAGTTCCGTTCACTCCTGTCCCTCCAACGGACTTCCCTCGTCGCCTCCGTAAACCTTCTCGAGCTGACCCTCCATTAAGGCTTGTTAGCGACGATTAAATACTATCGAGGCACCACCATAAAAACAGGGTGCGCGAGATGACGCTGCCCACGCGGATAAGCTCCTCGACTACCGTAACTGTACACTCCTCAACGGCTCTACACTCGTCAACAGCAGCACTCGCGTCAACAGTCGTTAACTCGTCAACAAGTTTACACGCCGGACCACCCCGCGCAGCATGGCTCCCAGAAACTGCCGTCGCGGCTCGTCTAGAGTCGGTACCAGCGCATGCGGCGCCGTTCTACGTTCCACGACGCGGGATCGTCGCCGCTGCACCGGCTCGCGTGGCGGGAACGGGCACCAACCATCGGCTGCGGGAAATGGGCGTGTCACGGAGAATGGGCATTAGTGGTTCTAGACCACTTTTAAATAGCGTCACGAGTGGTGCTGGCGGGGCCGTTGGCGCGGGCGACAGTAGCCGCGGCCGCTTCGACAGACAGGAACAGGCGCTGGGCTGGGGTGGTAACGGCTGCGTAGATGGCGCTGGGATTGACTGGAGACTGTCGCAACGGTCACTTTCACACTCGCACCAGCAGCAGCAGCAGCAGCAGACCCACCGAGGAGCCGTCACGGTTTCCGCCATTCTAAAGTGAGCGATAGAGATAGTCAGAGTAAAACGTTTTCTAGGATCCTTCCTGCTTGACTTGGCCAATCTCCGCAAAGGATCCTTCAAGCTGTAAACAAATCACGCGCCAGTATTTTTCCACAGCGAATATTCGTTCTGTACTTATTAAGTCTATAACTTTTTATGTTTTCTTGCCATGCTGTCCGCACATTCCCTTTCTCCGCCCATTCTCCCCATCCATTTTCCCCGTCCGTTTCCCCCCAGTCCCCCCGACCAGCAAATGCCAGCAAAGAAGCCGTTCGTTCCCCGCCAGCGCCCATCCCCCAACCCCTCCGCGGAGCTCAGCTCGCCTTATTCCGCCGTCTCCCCTTCTGCTGCGCGCCAGAGCGGAAGCAACAACGGCGGAAGCGGAAGCGGAAGCAAGAGCACGAGGGGGAACAGGGGCGGCAGCATCGGCGGAAAGGGGGGAGGCAGGGGCCGCAAGCACGCAAGCAACCTGGTAAGCAGTCCCGGCAGAGGAGGCGGTGGTACAGGCGGGAGCAACATCAGCGATAGCATCCGCAGCAGCAGCAGCAGCACCGGTGGGAGCGACGGCAACGGTAGCGCCACTCCCCGCGGCGGTGCGGGGCTGCCGATGGGCGCGGTCGGCTTCGGAAGTTCCGCTAGCAGGGGAGCGGAACCCCCCCTGCGCGGAACTGGGGCAGATGGCGGAGGCTCAGCATTGGCTGTCGGGGCACTGGCGGGGGGAGTAGACGTGAAGGCGTTTGGGGGAGGGGAGGCGGAAGAGAGGGAGAGCAATCGTGTGGTTGGTGATGGTTCTGGTGCCGGTGCTGGCAGGGGTGGCGGCGGTAGTGGAGGTGGTAATGGGGCAAGAGTGGCGGCAGGAGAACTAGGGGCTTCACTACCCTCGGGTGCATCAGGGCTGGCTAGCCCTGCTCCTCCTGCCGCTCCTGCTGCTGCTGCGGCTGCTGCGGCGGCTGCGGCTGATGTCACAAGTGGACAGCAAGGAATGGGTAGGGCAGCGGAAGGGGCGAAAGATGAAGAGGAGGGGGAGGAGGAGGAGAGGGCAGAAGTAGAAGGCAAGTCGTCTGCCTCGCCTGGTAATGGATCGTTGCGTGGCGGAAGCACGAATGGGGGAGGGCAGAAGGGGGAGGAGGCTGGGGAGTCAGAGGCGGTGGACGCGGAGAGCAACGAGGAGGCCGCCATGGCTGCTCGGCTGTCTATTGCAAGCTTGGCTGCTGGTATCGCCAGTCAGGTATGCTGAGGGATCACGCCGTGTTCTGTGTGTTTGGTTTGTTGCTGTAGCTGTGGGGGGTGAGGGGCTGCTGTGCTCATGCACCTGCTGCCGTGACAATGTGGCGTGGGGACTTTCGTTGTTGCTAAGAAAGGGAGGCGATCAAGCTTATGTATGCACGCGTGCATGCGTGCGGACGGGTCGCTGCGCCTTTGTAACGAGCATGATGAGTCAGTCAGGTTTGTGTTGAGTACAAGAGGACACAATTTGCGATGGCTCGTAGTACGCTCTCCGCTCTGAGAAGAGCCATGGGAAGTGTAAGAACAGCAAGTGGACGAATGGTACGCAGACCAGTGAAAGAACAGCGAATCATGTTGACGATAAAATATAAAAAACTAATGCAATATATATACTGTCTAGCATATTGTCGATCGGGAAACTTATCAAAGTTCAACTCGTGCATCACTAAAACATGCGTTGTGCATTCAAGTAGCCGTTCTACGTCGTACCCACTTCTGCCCCATCTCTTTTGTGTTTACGCCCTCCCTCACTACGTCTCTGCTCTGCGTATCCTCCCCTCCGTGCCTCCGCCCCTCGGCGCCTCCGCCCCTACGCGCCTCCGCCCCGCCGCCCCTCCGCGTCTCCGCCCCTCCGCGCCTCCTCCATCCGCAGCCTGACTATGATGGTGCTGGCGCTGACGATGGTATCTACGATGCTGCTGATGGTGCTCGTGGTGGCCGTGACCCCACGGGTGGTGCGCTCTCCTCGTCTGCCAAGGCCGACCGGTCGTTGGAGCTGGGCGACCTCATTGGCATGATCAAAGACGCCGAGTCCAGTGAGTAGTGCCATGTGCCATGTGCAGGCATGCGTGCAGGCAGGTTATGGCGTGATTGAGGTGACTTTTAGAGTCGACTCGACTCACAAGCCACCTGGCAGGCAGACGGGTCGTTGGAGCTGGGGGACCGACCTCGTTGGCATGATCAAAGACGCGGAGTCCAGTGAGCGCTGTGTGCATGCATGCATGCATGCGGGCATGCAGGCGATGGCGATGCTGAGTGTCATGTCACGTGCGTACTATGGTGTGGTGAGTGGCACATGCAGAATGAAGCAAGTAGTGCATGCCACAGCACAGCGAGCATTACACGTACGCGATATCTAGCAGGTGTCCTTAGCCGTAGAGCGAGTGTCTACGTACTCGATCGGGAGTGCCACGTGTGGTACAGCGAGTGTTGCACGCGCGGCACAGTGGACCACCCACCCACACGGCTTAACGAAAAAGCATCACTCTTGTGCTGGACCCTCTCCTCCTTATGCTCTACCATCTTGCTTGCTTCAGTTTGCCTCTCATATGTCACTTTTTGCGCGTTCAGAGTACGTCTCTACCTCTCCCTTCCGTGTTCCCTGTTGCCCGCCCTCTGCCTGCCTCCCGCTCCTGTTTCCGCCATTCCACCACACCTCTCTCAACCCCCATCCTCGTCCCCCCCTCCGCCCTCCCGCTCTCCCTCTTTCCCCCCTCCTCTCCCCCCCTTCCCCCCCCTCTCTCCCCTCCCCCCGATGAACCCGCCGTTCGAACCCCCCAGACATCCTGCTTCTGAACCGGGTGCGGTCTCGAGCTTTGGAGGAGCTGTCGGACGCGCGCATGCAGAACGACGGGCTGCAGAACCAGCTGCGGATCTTCCAGGCGCGCATCGCCGAAGCGGACGCCAAGCTCCACCTCGCCGTGCAGAGCCGGGAGAGGAGCTCTTTGTTGGAGACCCAGCTGCGCGTGCTGCAGGAGCAGGTGGAGGAGCTCGGGGAGGGGGACGGGGAGGATGATGAGGCGGTGGTGGAGGATTTGGAGAAGCAGGTCGGGGAGTTAAGGGAGAGGGTGAAGGACGGGGAGGAGGCGGAGGCAAGGCTGACGATTCTGCAGGGGCGGAATGAGGAGCTACAGAGGGAGGTGGAGGCGGGGATCCGGCAGGCGGAGAGCGCGCGGAAGAGGGAGGAGGAGGTGGAGCGGAGGCTGCGGGGGGAAATGGAGGGGCTGACGGAGAGGCTGGTAAGGCTCCAGGCGGAGCTGGCGGTGGCTCAGGCGAAGGAGAAGCAGCTGGAAGACGCCGTGGCTGTGAAGGGGTTGCTGGAGAGGGAAGTGAGGGATCTGGTAGGAAAGGTGGAGGAGAAGGAGGCGGAGATGGCGCGGGCGGTGCGGGAGAGGGAGGAGGAGCTGGAGAGGCTGAGGGAGAGGCTGGAGAGGGAGGTCGGGGAGCTGGGGGAGAAGATGCGCGCGGAGGCGGAGATGAGGCGCGCGGCGGAGGCGGAGCGGGAGAGGCTGGATGGGGAGATTGCGGGGCTGAAGCGGGAGGTGGAGGAGCGGGAGGAGACGCTCAGGCGCGAGCTGGAGGAGGTTGGGGGGAGGCTGAGGAGGGAAGTGGAGGAGAGAGAGGCGGTGGTGGGGGAGGAGGTGCAGGAGCGGGAGGCGCTGGTGGCGCGGCTGAAGGGGGAGGTGGGGGAACTGAAGGGGAAGGTGGGGGAGAGGGAGAAAGAGAGGGAGCGGGCGGAGGAGGAGGTGCGGGAGCTGCGGAGGAGAGTGGAGGCGGCGGAAGCGGTGGTGCAGGCGAAGCAGGGGGAGGTGCAGGAGCTGCAGGCGGAGCAGGAGCAGGAGCTGCGCGCGCTGGTGGCGCGGCTGGGGGAGGAAACCGCGGGGATAAAAAAGGCTCTGGAGGCGAAGGAGAGGGAGGCGGAGGAGGTGGCAACGGCTAAGGAGAAACTGGAGGAGGTGGTGCGGCGGACGGAAGGATGGCTGGGGGAAGTGCGCGGGGAGAATGCAGGCCTCAGGACCCAGCTAGCGGCGCTGCAGCAGCAGGTGGCGGAATCAGAGGAAAAGAGAGAGCTGGTGGTGCAGCTGACTGAGGAGGAGGAGCGGGAGAGGGAGCAGGAGAGAAAGCAGCTGCTGGTGCAGCTGCAGCAGGCGCAGCAGAGGGTGGGCGAGCTGGAGCGGAAGCAGGAGATGGTGGCGAAGGTTGAGGCGGAGATCAGCCTGCTACAGGCCGCGATCGAGGAGGCGGAGGGGCTGGAGCGCATCTCGGCGGCTGTTGCGGAGCAGAACGAGGAGCTACAGGCGGAGCTGGCGCGGGTGCGGGAGGAGGTGGCGGCGGCAGAGGCGGCGAGGGAGCAGGAGCAGGAGGGGAGGCAGGCGGAGAAGGAGGAGTGGTGGCGCTTAGCGGAGGAGACAGAAGCATACCGGGCGCAGGTGGGCGTGCTGAGAGGCGAGCTGATGAAGACGGATGAGCTGATGCGGGCTCAGCTGGAGCTCTATGAAGCCCAGATGACGGCGTTCGAAGAGAGCCTAGAAGCTGCGAACGAGAGTGTGGAGGTTTATAGGGTGAGGGCGGAGGAGGCGACTGCGGCGGCGGAGGAAGCGGCGGCCATGGCTGCGGAAGCAGAGGCGGTGGTGGCGCAGTGGGAGGAAGCGGCAGCGACGGGGGCGCTGGGTGAGTTGAACCTGGACGGAATGAGCAGCGGATTCGTCACCAGTGGGAGCAGCAGCAGCAGTGGGGGGAAGTTGCAACGAGCGGCGGTGATTGGTGCCGGGGAGCTGCCGTGGGAGTACTGGAGCTGCCTGCTGCTGAAGCTGGACGAGCTGCTGCTGCGGCGGGTGCTCACCACCGAGGAAGTGGATGAGCTCAGAGACATGGCGTGGCGGAGAGAGAGGGCGATCCGGGACGCGTGGGACTCGGTGGGGGGCTCGGAGGTGCCGCAGGCGGTGGCGGCGGGGGGGAACAGTGATGCTGTGGTGGAGAGGGATGCGGTGGTGGCGGGGGCCCTGAGGGGGCTGCTGGGAGGGGAGCAGCAGCAGCAGCTGCCGCCCCTGCATGTGGTGCATATCGCGGCGGAGATGGCGCCCGTGGCCAAGGTATGTGGGGGCTGGGGAGCCGGGAAGGAAGGCGATGGGAGGGAGGCGATGGGATAGGAAGGAAGGGAGGAGGGGAACAAGGAAAGGGAACGTGCTGTTTTGAGCTCGTGTGTCCTTGGTGGCAGATACCCATGCGCATACACATCGGTCTGCATTCGCTTGTTTTGCTTCGTCCGTGTGTGCGTGTGTGTGTGCGTGTTTGCATGTGTGCGTATGTATGCATGCGCGCATGCGTGCATTCGTGTGTGTGTGCATGCGTGCATTGGTGCCTGGGTGTGCGTGCGTGCCGGTGTGCCGTGTACCCTAGGTGGGCGGGCTGGCAGACGTGATCACGGGGCTGTCGAAGGCGCTGCAGCGCAGGGGCCACCTGGTGGAGATCATTCTGCCCAAGTATGACTGCATGGACTACTCACGCATCAAGGACCTCAAGGTCAGTGCTCTCTGATATTCATTCCTGTGTGCCTTGTCTTCCCCTGCCTTCTCTTCCCCTGCATGTCCTCCGTTTTGCAACATCCCTGTCATGATTTCCCTAACGTCGTCCTTTTTCTTGCCATCTGTCTGCCCCCAATTGTGTGCCCTGCCCTGCCCTGCCGTGCCGTGCCGTACCGTGCAGCCGTTGGACATCAAGTTCTCATCCTTCTTTGACAATGAGATGCACGCCTGCAAGATATGGAGGGGCTTGGTGGAAGGTGAGACAGGGGAGGGGCACACACACACACACAACCAGGCAAAGACGCATTCACCAGACACATCACGCACCCCCCCCCCTCTTCCTTCCTTTTCCACTCCCATCTCGATTCGGCCATTGGGTTGCAAATGCTCTATACTCTCCCTACCCCCCCACCGCCTCCCCTTTCAAACGTGGCTCGTACAGGTTTGCCGGTGTACTTCATAGAGCCGCTGCACCCGGCGCGCATGTTCTGGCGCGACACCTTCTACGGCTGCAACGACGACTTCCGCCGCTTCACGCTCTTCTGCCGCGCCGCCCTGGAGTTCCTCTTTGTCTCGCACAAGCGCCCCGACATCATCCACACGCACGACTGGCAGACCGCGGTTGTGGTACGTGGCTGTTGTGCAGGTAGGTTGGTTGGCCTTTGCGTCGATAAAAGAATGCACGGGAAGCAGATTCGAGTAGTGAGCTGAGTGCTCAAGGGAGGGACCGGACATTGTCCACACGCACGACTGGCAGACCGCTGTTGTGGTGCGTGCATGGCTGGCTGGTCGGCCTTGGCCTTGGCGTCGTCTCAAAAGCAGACTCGAAAACGGAGACTGAAGAAGAACTCGTTCAAAAGCAAACTCGAAAGCTGTGTTGTGTTGCAAATTTCATTCTCCTGAGTTCCTCACTCCTCGTCCCTCACCTTCCTCCCCTCCCACACACCTTTCCCCCTCCCCCCCCCCCTCCCCCCCCCTCCCCCCCCCTCCCCCCCTCCCCCCCCCCTCCCCCCCCCTCCCCCCCCCTCCCCCCCCTCCCCCCCCCCCCTCCCCCCCTCCCCCCCCCTCCTCCTCCCCTCACCCCCTCCCCAGGCGCCCCTGTACTGGGACGTGTACGTGCCAAAGGGCCTGAACTCGGCGCAGCTGGCATTCACGTGCCACAACTTTGAGTACCAGGGGTCGGAGCACGCGTCTGCGCTGGCGGCGTGTGGGCTGGACGTGAGCCGGCACAACGTGCCCGAGAGGATGCGCGACAACTTCATGCACGACCGGGTCAACCTGCTCAAGGTGGGTGGGTGGGTGTCTGTTCTGTTTGCTACAAGGAGACTTTTCAGTCGACTCAAGTGAGCTGGCACAATGTGGCCGAGGTGACTTTGCTATGAGTCAACTCAAAAGATGAGCTGGCACAAATGCGTGGCGGATGCTGTGCTGTCTCGCTCTCGCTCTTGCTCTCGCTCTCGCTCTCGCTCTCGCTCACGCATGCAAGACAAGATTCATGCACCATCAGATCAGGTCATCATCGGTCTACCTGCTCAATGTGCCATGCCTGTTCCTTCCCGGCTGATGTTTCTGTGGTTGACCGTTGAGGTGAGCACACAGTGTGTGTCAGATGGGCATCGTGCTCCAAGTTCAAACCCCTTGCATCCCCCTACCCCCCCTCCCTCCCCTTCTCCGGTTTCCCCACCAACATCACCTTGTGCTCTTTGGGCATCACCCCCCCTCTCCCCCTTCACTCTCTCCCCCACCTTTCCTCTGCCCCCCCCCCCCCCCCCTCCTCCCCTCCCCCCCCTTGTCCCTGCATGCACGGCACAATGTGGCAGGCGGGCATAGTGTTTTCGAGTGTGGTTACCACGGTGTCTCCCACATACGCCATGGAAGTCAGAGGGCCCGAGGTGAGAGAGAGACTGGATGGGGGGGGGGGGGTTGGCTGGGGGGAATGGGGATCGTACATGGGGGCGGGAATCGGGGTGGCATGAGATGGGGTGGAGAATTACTGAGTAGGATGCAGAAGGAATGGAAAAGGGAGGACAGCTGGAGTTACGAAGAAGGGGATGGCTTGGGACACCTTGGGCCGCCTTGGGACAGCTTGGGATTTGACACCAGGGTTCTCATCTCACACAGAGTTGGAGAGGAGGTGGAGTAGCCGAAGGTGAGTATTGGTTGGTTGGTCGTATGGCATCAGCTGCTGCTCCCACAAGCAAGGTGGCCCATATGCATCCGCCCTCCTCCACCCTCCACCCTAAACTCGCTCTTCACCCCCCTCTCTTGCCCTACATCCCCACTGGCCTTTGTCCCTTTCACTCGTTCACTCTCCCACCGACTCCCCCCTCCTTCACTGCCTTCCCCCCTCCATCCCCTCACCCTTTCCCCCTTCTTCCCTCGCCTCGCCCTCTCTCCCCCACTCCCCCCCAGGGCGGGCGCGGGCTGCACCTGACGCTGGGGCAGCACGAGAAGAAGTTTTTTGGAGTTCTCAATGGGATCGACTCGGAGGTGTGGGACCCCGCCACGGACCCCCTGCTGTGCTGCCCGTACAGCGCGGCGGAGCCGGAGGGCAAGGCGGAGAACAAGGCGTACCTCAAGTCCATGCTTGGGCTGTCCTCCTCGGGGGCTGACGCGCACAAGCCGCTGGTGCGTTGCTGGGGGGGGGGGGGGGGCATCTGTGCGTGAGTGTGTGAGAAGAAAAGAGAGGGAAAAGGTGGAGGGCGAGGGATAGTGGAAGAGAGAAAAGAGAGAGATAGGAAGAGGGGGAAGATGCAGTGGAAGAGCCGAAAGTGGGCCCACCTTCCCCTTTCTATGTATTTGTATTCATCAAGCTCGGCACGCCCTCTGTCCGCTCCCATCCCGTCTTTAGCCCCACCTTCCCCTTTCTTCCCCTTTCCCTTCCCCCCCTTTTTGTTCCCCCACCATCCCTCCGTCCGTGCCCCATGTCCAGGTGGGGTGCATAACGCGCCTGGTGCCGCAGAAGGGCGTGCACCTTATCCGCCACGCCATCTACCGCACGCTGGAGCGAGGCGGCCAGTTCGTCCTGCTCGGCTCTAGCCCCGTGCCTGACATCCAGGTAAGGCCCGAACCTGGCATCCGGCCGGGTAAGGTCGGAGCCTGACATCCAGGGAAGGCTTGTACCTGACATCCAGGTGGGGCCTGAGCGTGACATGCAGGTAAGGCCCGGGCCTGACATCCAGGTAAGGCCCGAGCCTGACAGCCAGGTGGGTCTGTCGTGCTTCTCTTCAACTGCTTCCCGCCTTCCCGTTACTGATCCTGATTCTATTCAGAGAAGACTTCTAACTGCTCCCCCCCCCCCGCTTCCTCCTCATCAGATCTTTCCTCTCTCAGCCTACTTCTATCCTCTTCCATTCCCCACCTCACTCTAAGAGAACCGATTGGCAGCGCAGCAGTTAAAATGACCTCTAACTGCTAACTCCCTTCCGTACTCCCCCCCCCTCCCCCTCCCCCATTCCCCTCCCCTTCCCCCTTGTCCCTCCTCCCCGGTGAGCAGAAGGACTTTGAGGGTATAGCGCGGCAGTTCAGCAACGACCCGAACATCCGGCTGGTGCTCAAGTACGACGAGAGCCTCTCGCACCTCATCTACGCCGCCTCAGACCTCTTCGTCATCCCATCCATCTTCGAGCCCTGCGGCCTCACCCAGGTGAGCCAGTGAGCGAGGGAGAGCGAGAGAGCGTGTCGCACCTTATCGACCCCCGCCCCTCTCCTTCCCCCCCCCCTCCGTCGGACCTCTTCGTCATCCCCTCCATCTTCGAGCCCTGCGGCCTCACCCAGGTGGGCCAGTGAGCCAGCGAGCCAGCCAGCTAGCCTGCCAGCTAGCCTGCCAGCGAGCCAGCCAGCTAGCCTGCCAGCGAGCCAGCCAGCCAGCCAGCTAGCCAGCCAGCGAGCCAGCCAACCAGCCTGCCAGCGAGTGCACGCTCCCAAGTGTTGAGGGGATCGGTGTGGGCTGCTGGGCCGCTCTTGAATGGCCAGCCGCCTTGAAATGACTGCCCTTCTCGTAGCAAAGGCTTCTGTGCAGCATCGTAACAAGGTTCCTTTTGAGGCAATCTAAAGGACTCGTGTAGGTGACTCAACGAGTATCTTGCTGGTGCTTAAGTACGATGATACCCTGCACGCGCATGTGTGTGATTGCATGTGTGTTTGTGGCCATCAATGCTCCCTTCCTCTGACCCCCTATCCCCCCATCTATACATCCCACCCCACCCCTTCCCATCCCATCCTATGCCATGCGACTGGCGTCCCATCAGCTCATTGCCATGCGCTATGGTTCCATCCCAGTCGTGCGCAAGACAGGCGGGCTTGCAGACAGGTAAGCTGGGCTGCACACAGGTATGCTGGGCTGCACACAGGTATGCTGGGCTGCACACAGGTATGCTGGGCTGCACACAGGTATGCTGGGCTGCACACAGGTATGCTGGGCTGCACACAGGTATGCTGGGCTGCACACAGGTATGCTGGGCTGCACACGGGTAAGCTGAGCTTGGGTTGTGTGCATGCATGGGGCAGATGTTCTGGAACAGGGCCCACACTAGAGTAGTGAATCATAGGAGAGTGAGCTGCATGGAAAGGGGTCTCAAGTCATGAGCAATGAGACATGCTGCTCTAGAGGCGCCACAGGCGTGCCCCCAGTTTACCTGCACACCCGCCCTCTCCTCACTTCCTTACTATTCTCGTTTCATCCCCCCCCCACGGGCGCTTATCCCACTAGTGCACCCGTCCCACTTTCTCCGTTTTTCCAGCAAGAAATGCTCCCCCCCCCCCTTTCTCAATATCCCCCTCCCCTATTTCTCAATATCCCCCTCCCCCTCCCCCCCTCCCTCCCCCCCCCTTGGTACTTCCCCCCCTGTGTGTGTGCGTGGCAGTGTGTTTGACGTGGACGATCCGTCCATCCCCGTGGAGAAGCGCAATGGCTTCACCTTCACTGCCAGCGATGTCAATGTCAGCCCTCTGCTCTCTCCCTCTGCCCTCTCCCTCTGGCCTTTTGCCCTTTATCGTCTACTGTCAACCCTGCACTGTCTGCCTCATCACCTATTTAATCTCGGCTTTCCGCTCTCCACCCTTAATCGGTCGCATAACCCTGCCCCCCCCACCCTCTCCATGCCCACACCCAGGCCCACACCCATCCTCCTCTTATTCCGACATCATCCTGACGTTTACGCCCACCGGGCAACTGGTTATTTCTTTCTCGCCCGCTTTGATCCCCCCAGGCGCTGAACTACGCGTTGGACCGGGGCATAGCGGCGTACTATGAGCGGCGCGAGTGGTGGGAGCAGCTGGTGGCGCACACCATGGCGATGGACTTCGGGTGGGAGCAGTCCAGCCGCCAGTACGAGCAGCTCTACCACCGCTGCCTGCCGCACAGGCGCCTCTGGTGACCTCCCACCACTCTCTCGGGCTTTTCCACCGGCGCCTCTGGTGACCTCCCCCCCCCTCTGCGGCAGAAAGGCCACACAGCAGGCATTTGGCATGTCTCTCTCTCTCCCGCCCCCCGTGGTTTGTTAGTCGAGGGGACAGTTGCTGCTGCTGCGTCCTGAGTCGAGCGGTACAGGCCTTGGGGTGGATCTGAGTGGACGCGGGAGTTGCTGCCGCTGTGCCTGTCGCACGGGCACAGCACCTCTGGTGGCTGGAGCTTCTACAGTTGGTGTGGTGCGGTGCTGGATAGATGAGAAGGAAGTAGAGGGAAGCCTCCTAGGGAGCTTTCCTCCCTTGGGAGTATGCTAGCAGTTGCAAAGCCTTGGGGTTGGGTGTGTGGGGGGGAGAGAGAAGCAGGGTGTGGCAAGGCGATTGGCGAAAGCAGAGACACTGCTGATCTGATTGCAATTCACTGTCGCTCTGCTCTGCTCTGCTCTGCTGTGTCTGTCACCCACATGCCCACTGAGAAAGCCTTTCTCCAGGCCATTGTGTGCAGGTTGTCTGTCCAGGTGTTTGGTCAGGTGCTTCTGCCGGTGCTTCTTGTGCCAGCCAGTCCTGTGCTATCTGGTGTTGGGCTAAAGATCTCGATTTGATTTGGTGGTTTGGGGCGTGCTTGGTGCAA